CCTTATATGTAAGAATGTGTTTAGTTCTTGAATTTAGACACCACAGTGCTATTTCCTTACTGTACTTTGGTTATCAGTTATCACTGTAGTAGAAAAGAGCCTAAAATGTCCACACATTTTCTTTTAGAGCTGCAGTAAAATACCTAGTAAGTTTATCAAATTAATCTCCCCAAATCCCATAAGGAAAACACATTACATGGCTATTGGAAAGACAGTGTCATGGTTAAGAACACATCCTCTGGAATTTGGCTGCTTTAGTTTGAACTCCACCCCACCATTTACTAGCTGCGTGACCCTGAGCAAGTTAGTCACACGGTTACTTAATCTCTTTGTGCCTTGGTTTCCTCCTCTGAATGAAGGATAATAATACCTACCTCATAGGGCTGCTGTAGGATTAAATGAATTAATATATGTAAAGTACTTAATGTGGTGCCTGACATACGTAAGTGCTATATGTTAATTAGTAAGAAATAAAGATCTGCCTACATTAAAAATCACTGTTACAAATAGGCTGTGATTAAAGGTCACTTGTTTTAAAGATTTAATTTATTTATTTGGCAGAGAAATAGAGCCAGAGAGCATGGCGGGGGAGGGGGGAGAGGGATGGTAGAGGGAGGAGGAGAAGTGGGCAGGGGGCCCCCGGGGGCAGGGCTCAATCCCAGGACCCTGGGACCATGACCTGAGCCGAAGGCAGACGCTTAACCACCTGAGCCACCCAGGCGCCTCTTAAAGGTCATTTTTAGGGCAATTGCTTAGAACTCTAAATCCATATCCCTGGAAATTCAATGCTGGTTAGGTTTGTCCTAATACCACAGAAACTTACTGAACAATGTGACAATATTACAGCTTCCCATTGTTTCTATGGAATAATGTATCAAAAGTTCCAACTGGAGGGGAAAAAAACTTATTTTCTGACCACGTACCTGAAAGTCAAAAGTGATCCTTTCTTTTTTCTCCAGACACAAACAGGAACTTCTGAAGGAACACTAGTGATTTTTATGATAGGGATAGGAGTGGGAAGAGTATCGGAGGATTGCAGAGCATAAGCTTTGCATTTCTTGCCAATGACTAAGGATTGATAATCAAAAAGCAGCTATGTGAATTTCTTATCAAAGAGAGGAAAAGATGAGTATACATGAGTATGCATGAATACACCTGCATGCAACACACTCATGGACTATTAACTTGGTATACCTAGTTTTTCATAATGGACAAACTGTCATCTCTGAATACTGAATTTGAAAATCAAAATCATTGTAAGATATCTTATTCCCACTTTCTCAGCTAGACTTAGAAATTTCAGTCAGGTGACACAGATATTAAAATTAGACTATACCCCATGCTCTTTTCTACTTCTCTAAGAAGTCTCTATAACATAGATGGAAAAACTCATAGGTACCAGAAGAGCAAGAAAATTTCCAGTAGTAGCAGAGAAGGAAAAGTAATTACCATTGCTAAAATAACCATCTCACAAGTTCCTTGTTACATCCAGGTACTCCACTACATTTTTAACCTCATATAAATTAAACAACATATTTTAAATATTGCCTAGAATTTGCTGTCCAAATTGAATTAAGCTTACCTAATTCATTTAATACTATATTCTCTGCAACTTCAGTGTATAAACTAGGACTGCTTTCTAAATTGGATTTCTGAGTCAAATGATGATGCATAGTATTAATTCAAAGCATAAAATGAAATGAAACTTGAAAATATAAACACCAGAACCAAATTTATTTGGTTTATGAATGGACTTTGATACATGTACTGGGTTCTTTCATTAAGGCAAAAACATGATATTAATTTGCAAGGTCTGCTTGTCAATCAACAGTCTTTGATTAACCAAAAACAGCCTTTAAATTATATACAACATATCTGTCAATATATAAGTAAGCCTTATTCACTTTTAATAAGCTCTTTGCAGTACAAAACATGTTTCTAAAGGGTAAAAATGGAAACATTCGATCAGCGGACTGTCCAAGTTGATTCCAGTTAGCAATTAATGTAGCTTTAAAAATCCAAGAAATACAATGTAAAAACAAATAAAACTGTATACCTTCAGTTTAAACAACAACAAAAAAACCAAAAACCCCTTACCTTAAAAAGAACTACAAGTCAAAAAACAGCCCAATAATGAAGAATGCAGAATGAAGATAAAGTTACAAAGAAACATTTTGCCACTGGAAGCAAGATGGCCTGGGGAAACTGCCTTGCCATCTTCACTACTAATATTAAGTCTAATTTTAATATAGCCACAAAGTCTAATTTTGACCTAGCCACACCTCAAATGCCAAGAGAATAACAGAAAAGCATTGTTTATCCCAATGTTCAAAATTTGCCATATTACCTATAAAGAGGTAAAATGTTTCCTTTAATTTGCCCTATCAAGCTTCTCAACAAATTTAGTATTTGTAAGCCACATCTTAAAGTAACTGATCTCTTAACACACACTTGAAAAAATCAAATAATATCGAACTGAAAATGACTGATATTTTATGTAATTTCCATACATAAAAATTCCCCAAATACCTATGAAAGGTGGGACAAGCAGGAAAAGCCATGATTCTGTAAGTGCTTATGATTATACCCTACAGAAAAGCAATGAGGAAACTCACAAGCTAGCTGAAATAGCAATGAACAAATATAAATATGGCTTCTGTAGGCTTCAGCAGGAATACCTCAACTACAATCAATACTAATCAGCTGCTGTTTAAATCGTCAAAGAATTCTAAAAGACTAACCTGTGAAAAGGGTGCATTAAAAGTGCAAAAAATTGCCATTCTCGCTAAAAATGAATACGTCAATGTATTTTACATACATCCTCAAACTACTACTGGCCTTCCACTTTCACACACTTTAGGTTTTTAGGTTCCCTACTACCCAAATTTAAATGCAGTATCCAAGTTTCCCTGGGTCAGCACTAGAATGAATACTATACTGTATCACCCACCACATCACTGGGAATTAAGCTCCTTAAGAGTTTGCATTGAACAAGGTACAGAATCACATTTTGTATAACTTTGTATCCCAAAGAACATTTGATTTAACCTCCTAAACATAACAGAGGCTATAAATATTTACTGACTCAAAACAGTCCTTCAACACTTTGTAGTTCTGTTCTGTGCGGTTGAAAGAAAACTGCATAGCTTTACAAAATCCAAAGGACCTAAATATTATTGAAACTTCACAGAATACATCATTATTTCGCAGCTTAGAGGTTTTAGCCTTACCCCTATGACCCGCTGTAATGCTTTTTAATGATACTGGCACAGTAGGGAGGAGAGCAGATCCAGTAAAAAGTTGACATGGGAACTTGTTAAAAGGGAGTATTTTCATATTCATCCTTTACCTTTTTATTTATGTAACATTAATGTTCTAAAATCAGTTAACTGTATCAACAAATTAAGAGACAGTTTTGCAGAACATAAATGAAAACTGGTACCAATAAAAAACAAGTAACCAAAGAGAAGAGCTGCCTTAAATTCCGGCAACAAGGTAAGGATAGTTCACACCAATGTAATGAAAAATAAGTGTTTTTGTAGTCTACAAACCGTCCATGACTAATTTTTGAGCTAGCTATAAAAGCCTCTAAAAAGTTAAAACAAATTGGTTAAGACATTATCAAAATCACAAACTATCATTAAAGATACACAAAAATATCTGGCAACCAAGGTCTAGAATTGGTTCCAAGGTCTTCAGTTGTTAAAATACTCCATTATGCCTCTAAAACAATTTCACTTAGATGTGACATTCCTAAAACAGCAACACAGGCCTGTAAGTTTCAGTGAGCCAGTGCCGGCAAAACCAAACTATGACAAAGATATCCTCTTCTTTGGGCGGTAACTACCAAATTACTGTTCTGGGATCGGCTTGCTTCAACTAAGTTTAAGATGGTGCCCAAACTGAAAGGAAAGAGGCAGAACAGGTAAAGGAAAAATAAACAGAAAACTAATTTTAAAAAGTTAAGTTCCTATTTCCAGTAAACTGTGTCTTAGAAATCTTTCAGACGATAAACGCGCCGAAGAACAGATGGATCAAGACCCATCCGCATTCTCTTGAGACGTGCGCACTGCGCGGAAAAAGATGAATGAATGGAAGACAGGCGCGTGTGAAATGCAGCAGGTCCGGCCGGCAACCAGACCAGCAGCAGCGATCAGTAGGCCTCGCTCCTCCCCCTTCTCTCCTCCATGACAGCCCAATATCAAGCATGGAGGGGAGAGGACAATGTGATCCCCCTTTCTCACCACCACCACCCTTCATCCTACTCTGAGAGCTCTACCGCGCAACACGAGGTTCTCCTCCCCACCCCAAACCTTTCTCGCTCCCCTGCCGCCAACCCCAGCAACTCTCGGGCGCGCTGGAGTAACATGCGCTTGCCCCTCTCGGCTCCCCTCGGCGAGGTCGAAGCCTCTCCTCGCGTGCCGCGGCACCACTCTCGCCCAACCCACCCTCCGGCAACGCGCGCCCACCGGCTCTCTGGCCCACCGGTCTAAATAAGACCCGCGCGCGCCTCGCACACGAACCCCCAGGCTGGAGCTCGGAAGGGAAGTAGGGACGGAAAAGCTACCCCGGGGCTCCCTCCTCCAACTCATTCCAGGCCGGCTCGCCGCCCACCCTCCCTGCGGATCCCGGCGCCCGCTCGGAGCCAGTCCTGCGCCCTTCTATCCCGAAGACACAAACCCCACACACCAAGCCCAGGGCCCCGATCACCCTCCACCCTAGCAGACCACCTCGCGGATCTGCAGGAGGCGCCGTGCCGCCCCTCCCCCACCCCCTTCCCCCAGCTCTCGGGCCCCCACCAGAACGTGTGCGCTACACGCCGCCGCGGCCAGCCTCCGGGGCGCCCCCAGTTGCCCGCGGAGAGGTCAGGCCCAAGAAAAGGGGGAGGGGGCAGCAAGGGGTAGCGTGCGCGCCGGGAACGCCGTCCCGCGGGGTCCCCCAGTCCGAAGGGAGACGGAGCGCGGGGACCGGTGGGGGTGGGGGCCAAAGGCAATACTCACCGGTTCCACAGTCGCCATCTTAGATCGATCTGATCGCACAACCGCTCCTGAAGGGGGGGTGAGAGGAAAAAAAAGAGATTCAAACCGGATTGGCCGGCTACTGTCCACGTGACGGACGTGTCCGTTTGGCCCCGGCGGCGCCTGCGCAAAACTGCGGCTGCGTGGGTAACAAGAGGCTTCTGGGAAGTGGAGTCTCTCCCGCTCACTGTCTCTCTCCCTCTCTCTTTTTTTAAGGGCAAAGAAGTTAAAAAAAAAAAAAAAAGGACTGGTCGCGTGGTTGGTGGGTAAGGTGCGCAGTTCTCGGCGGCGGACCCTAGCGTGCTGGAAGGTGGTTTTCAGTTCCGTGCTCTCCCGCCTGGTTAGCTGCTGTCGCGTTTACTGCCAGGCATGCCTGCTGCGCCCTTTGTTGCCCTGTCCTCCCATCTTCCCCGGAAAGTTGGGAACTGCAGGCTCAGCACGCACAATGAGGCTTCATTTGCTTAGTTGAGGTCCTAGGACAAGTGGTTTATTTAAATTTTGCTTGACTTCCCACCATTTTCTCTTGCTTTCAGAAAGAGGCGGCGATGGAGAGTCCTTGTTTAAAGCAATCAACCCTCCCCCGTCCCCCGGCTCTGCTAACGCTGGTGGTCACTCATTGCCATCACTGCGAAAGGGGTGGCGGAACCGCCCGCAGTACCCACTTGCCATAGGTTGGGGGAGGGGGAATGCACCCGACAGCTTTTCCTGTCCCAAATCCTGAGATTAAGACCTCAGGGCTAAATCTTGAGTAGAAGTAAAAATTATTTGAAAGTTCTGTCCTCTCGGTTCCCCTACTCAGCTTAACGAGAACAGAAATAGCCTAAGTCCAGGTGCTAGCCAGGGAAGCCACTCCGGGCCCCGCTGACTAAGCCCTGGACTGATCGTCAGAAGTTAGGTCGGTCAACTATGACTCTTGACGTTGACTCATTCTCCTTAGGCGAGTGACTTAATCATTCAGTGCCTCAGCTTTTTCATTTATGAACCACAGATGATAATACACTTACCTCACAAGGGTGTGCTGTGGTAATGATTGTAACCAGCTTTGAAAATGCATCGGACTCTATAAGTGCTTAATAATAAGGCAAGCTTGTGCCTCCCTCCAAGGATAAGCTGCTTCCGCTGATGTTTTTTTAAACAATGTTTTAATTTTTTTTTCTGTTTACTTTGCTACATTATCATGTACACCAAGGAATTTAAATTTTAAAGTTTTTTTTTTAATTTTATTTATTTATTTGAGAGAGAGAGAATGAGAGATAGAGAGCACGAGAGGGAAGCGGGTCAGAGGGAGAAGCAGGCTCCCTGCTGAGCAGGGAGCCCGATGTGGAACTCGATCCCGGGACTCCAGGATCATGACCTGAGCTGAAGGCAGTCGCTTAACCAACTGAGCCACCCAGGCGCCCTAAATTTTAAAGTTTTAAGATGACTTTTTTCTTTATTGCTGTAGCTACCTTCAACAGAGGCTTTATGTCAGGAATATATTGTTATATTCACAACAATCACTGGCAGGTAGAAATTTATCCCCACACTAGCATCCTACATTTCCTTTTCCTCTGAGATACTCTGATGTTCTTTCTTAAGACCGTGTTACTCTGCAGAGTTTGGTTGTTAATAAAACAAATGGAGATAAACCTAACAGACCACTACTATAAAGTTCTAATGAGGAAGACATATCATTTTCCATACTTCTTAAGAATGTTAACACTAGAAACATCAGTATAAGCAGGCTGCCTGTGCCTGCCTGCTTTAGTGTTGCTGATGTCCAGAGCTGTGTCATACCTATTATTGAGTACATAATGGTTGCTTGAGTTGACTAACACATAATTGAGGCTGTATATACAAAACCATTGCCTTTTCATATGTTTTGGTTTCCCTGGATGTCAAAGGTGATTAATGAAAACTTTTTTCCAGTCAGCTTAGCTCTAGTAGGCTTAAAGTAGATGGAATTCTGAATAAATATATAAATGAATTTCTACTTACAGAAACTACTGTTACTTAAACTGTCCAAAGTAATTACAGTTGATCTCAGTGATATCTTCTGTAGTATCTGGTTATCTTCTTTGAGGAGATAGCGTAGATGTACTTTCATAGTGCTGCTAGATAGTAGCAAAGAATTAAGGAAATTTCAGTCCGCATATGAGACTGAAAGCCAGTGATATTCTTAAAACTTTTTTAATTATAGCTTCCATTTTGTTAACTTTTCTCGATTAAAAAGCTCCCCACTTTTGTCAGTCATCCCAGAACTTCTATAAGACTTATATATGCTCCTATTCTTTGTAGCTTAATTTATCTCCATTTTGTGTATACTTTGTTGGATGTGTTTATGGCACATTCATGTGTCTTTGCCTAATATCACCATAAGATTCTACCATGTCATAGATTTGGTGATTAGATTTTTATCTGTGTGTTTATGTGGTTGTATTGTTTTTGTCAGTCTGAATCATGCAGAGTAGAAATGTTATACTTTTTTTTCTACTAATATACAAAAAAATTACATTTGTTATATTACTACCAAATTCATGCTTATACTTAAGGAAAAGAAAGGGCAATAAAGAGATATATGAAATGGGATATGGTAATGAAATACTATTCTACTTCATCATGTTAGTTAATATATAACTAATGGCCCAGCATCCTATCATGGTAACTGTTACTTATAAACCTGGGATGATTGGTTACCATTTAGCACATATAAATAGTCATGATCTTTTCCCTACGTAATATATTCCCCAAGCTGCTATATTACTAGCCTTTATAGATTTAACTCATGGTAAAAGATTTTAAATAATTTGATAGAATACATCAGTTTTTATCATTTATTTGCCTCTTTGTCATTGGAACTTTATTTAGGTTTTCTAGATAACCAGAGTCATTGTTTTGCTGGGCATTGTTCACCTATGGTTCAAACTGATCACATCTGTTACAATCAATCCCTCAAAAATATTATTGCTGGACACTCTGGGATTTTTTTTTTTTAAGGCCTTGGAATTTTAGACAATCTGTTCTTATTAGATGCCTTTCTTAGTCTTTCTTAATCTCTGATCAGCATTAAGCAACCATTTTTCTTAAAATGAATAGATCTTCAGACAGAAGATATGAAATTACATAGTAAAGTAAATGGTCCTTAATATTACAGTGTTGGCTATTAACTTCAGATATAATCCAAAGCAACCTCTAATTAACATTAACATTGAGGTTTGGTTTTTGGTTTTCTTTAAATTTTATTCACTCTCTTTAAACTTGGTCATACCTTAAGCTCTATTTTTTTGTTACTGTCACTTTCTACAGTGATGTTCCTTAAAGACCTAAGGTGATGGCTTCAGACAGGATAAGTAATCTTTTAAATTATAATTGCTTAGTATAATATTTCAGAACAAGCTGTGATGTCGAATTATCTAATTTGTAATCCCAATCCTACCACTTACTATATGACAGTATGCAGACTATTTAATCTCTGTGTCTCATTTTTAAATTTTTTTTAAGTAGGCTCCACACCCAACCTAATTATTTAATCATAATTATCATGATGTGATATTGTAGTAATATAAGTTTCTTATTTCTACTTTTTAGTTTAGTCTAATATGCTTAAGAATTCTTTTATGCAGGGGCACCTGGGTGGCTCAGTTGTTTAGCGTCTGCCTTTGGCTCAGGTCATGGTCCCAGGGTCCTGGGATTGAGCCCCGCATTGAGCTCCCTGCTCCTCGGGAAGCCTGGTTCTCCCTCTCCCACTCCCCCTGCTTGTGTTCCTCTCTTGCTGTGTCTCTCTCTGTCAAATAAATAAAATCTTAAAAAAAAAAAAAAAGAATTCTTTTATGCAGAGAACCAACCCCAGCCCATTATCTTTAAGGATACTCTAAGCTTTCAAAGTCAAGTAACATTTATTGATTTCCTATCACTTACCCAAGTATTTTTCATATCAATTACTTTGTTTGACCTTTACAACAATTATGTGAACTAAGCATTATAATCCCCATTTCATAGATAAAGAACAAATGCATTAAAGTTAGGGGACATATGCAAATCCACACAGCCAATGGTGAGCTGGAATTCAAACCCAATTCTCTTGACTCAAGATTCTTTCCTCCATACCATAGCAACTTTCCTCCATACCATAGCAACTTTCCTCTGATAGGTTCTTCCAAATGCCTGTTCTTTTTGAAAGGACTTCTAATACTAAGTTCATTTACAGACTGACAAACCAGTCAAGAAGTACTAAGTCAGTAATGGGAAATGTGTAATCACTGGCAGATATTTAAAGCACATGGAAAGCCCAGGCACTTCCTTCCTGGACTGTAAAATCTGCTTGGCATCCTAAGTCATAGAAATATAAATAGTTCAGTACCCATATAAAGAAGTGTGACTAAGAACCAAAAGGATGCAGCTAACAAACACCATAACAAGCACTCATTCATCTAATGAATGAGACAGTCACATAGTTCCTTCCTTCCTTTCACTCAGGTCTCTGTTCTAACAACATCCCTGAGGGAAGACTTCCTTGACCACCCTACCTAAGTTAGCATGCTTGTTACTCTTTATCGCCTTATTTTGCTTTATTTTTCTTCAGACCACTTCATTACCCCAGCTCTACACCCAAGAGTATATTAAACATTGTTTAATTAATTATAGGTTGTCTCCACTATTAAAATATTAGCTTCTTGGTGATTTGTAGGTAGATTGCTAACAAATATTTGGGAAAATTCAAATATAATTTTAGAAACTACATAAAATTTCCAGCCTGAAAACTAATAATGTAATAGAAAAATTATTATATGCCAGGCACCATGTTATGCAGTTTACTTGCCATGGTAATAACCTCATTTTATCTTCAAAACAACATTCTGAGATAGATAAGGAAACTGAGGTTAAATAACTTTCCCAAAAACACAGTTTGGTTTTTAGGGTTCTTAACACTATATAATATTGACTAGATTGTGATTGGACTGCCTAGTAAGTGAGATCATTGTCTGAAATAATGAGAAAGAAATAATCTGCAAAGAATACATGAAAAATTCAT